ATCCTGCTTTTTTTGCTCTTTTGGAATAGCATTTTCTTACTGATTGTTTTGGCCTTCGCACGGCATCATTGGTCCATAACTCGATAGCAGAACTTAAATCAAATAAATTGGAATCTTTTTCATCGAAACTTACTCGAATTAAATTTTCTAAATGTTTCTCTTTCAGAGAGTTTCTTGTATCCGTTTTTACTCTATTCATTAGTGAAAAAAGGCGTTCAACTTTTGCATTAGAAACAGGCAAAGTAAATAATAGTTCGACAATAAGTAAAACCGGAACCCATTCATTTTTCATTGAGCTAGAAAAAATTAGATGCCATAACTTACGATAACCGGTATTATGTGGTGCTAAATATTTTACAGTGTAGATTACCAAGCTATGCCAAGCATCCAAAACATCATTTACAGTTCCTGCAAAACCAGCATGTCGTAACGACGCTCTATAAAAGTCAAAAAGATTTTCTATTCCTTCATCCAGGAATGTTTCATTTTCAATACTTTGAAGCCAACCTTCTGTATTTAAAACTTTTGTATCATACATATCAGTAATAGTATCGCTTGTTTCCAAACGCTCTATGATTGAATTTGTTACCAACTCGATATGAATAGATTTAGACTTTTTTACTAAATGTTTAGCATTTACAAAGTCGTTAAGTGCAACACCCTGGAAATAAAACTTTCCTTCTTTTTCAGTCACTTTGGCGAGAAAACGTTTTACTGTTGGCAAATTAATAAACTTTGTTTTTTGAATACGATTTAAATGGCTTTTAGCTTGTTGAACAAACCCTGATGAAGCCAACACATCTATCTCATCACTTTGAAAACATTTTGACAACATTTTTGCTGGTGCTAAAATCTCAATAAACAACGCGATATAAAGGGGCATTCTAGCATGAATCCACTTCTTGTGGTATCCTTTAAACTTAGCTCTTTCAGCATTGGTAAATGTTATATCTTCAGTCATATTTTCCAGATGTGTTAAATAAACACCGTATTTATCTAAAATCATTTCTAAAGCCTGAACTTTATGTGAAATCCATTGTGTACCTAAAAATGAAACAAGATTATACAATTTATAATTTACTTTATACTTGCAAAAACTAAAAATATAGGCGTCACGCATAACTGTAATGGTAATAAATATAAGATAAATAAATCAAGCAAAAAAAAGAAAATACCGGAGGCTTTCTTAGGTCGATAACCACCAATGTTATATTCATCATCTTCTAAAATAGAAACGAGTTCACCCAACTGTCTTAACTTTTTGGGGGATTTTTTGTAAATGTAATGCATTTTTAAAATCATCTAATCAACGTCATTGAATGAGGCTGTTTTTCCTAATTTTTCTTTTAATGATAACTCGAGACGATGTGCTACACACCAGCCAAACGTGATCCAGGGGACTTCAGCCTTGAGCAACATTTTAACGCCCGACTTGCTCCCTCTGTTAACGGATGCGCCATCCGCACCAAATCCAACTAGTTTTTTATTGCAATTTACGACTTCTATATTCTCGAGTGACTTTTTTATGGTGTTAAAAACTCCGTGCGAAGTTCCATACTCAACATCCAAAAGTGAAAGAAAAATCACATTCAACGTTTACTTCAGATTTTCCAGTTGGAGCCGGATTAAAAGTAATGGCAAATATAGCTTCTTTTTCCTTAATTGAAACGTCGTTAGAACCGTCAATTAAAATAGTGAAAAAATTTCGAGTATTTAGTTTATTTTTGAGATCTATCGCTAAACTAAGAGCAATGTAGTCAATAAATACTCCGCATGTGTTTTCGTTTTTATAAGCCTGACCAAAAACTACACCATGTTTCTCTTCTAATTGAATTATTTTTGGGTATAGGCAAAGCGATAGTTCTTCTTTTGCTATAAAGTAAGCGACCTCAAATTTTTTTTTTGTCAAATCCAAGTCTTTACTATTCATGGTTTGAATACCGGATAAAATGTCTGTTTGCCGCATTTCCTGCTGCAACTCGTTTAGTTTTTCAATTGGATCGCACAAATTCATGCCTCTCGTTTTCATAAAAATCTCAAAAGCCTTCTGATGAGACATTCCCTCTGCATGCGTGATTGCAGAACTATGTTGCAATCGACTACATCCTTTTCCACAGCTCCATTCCGGAGTGTAGCCTTTTAAAATCTGAATTTGCGATGCATATTCTCGGCATACTTTGCATTTTAGCGCTGTAACTATTCCGTCAACGCTTTCAATTTCAAGCCAATTATTAGCATTATATTTTGCAAGCGTAGAGACTTTCCATTTATTAGCTGTTTGTAATTGTAGCTTTCTGTCATAAGTTTTTAGTTTTTTCTCAGCGGGTGTTCCAGATACTAAGTTTCTTTTAAAAGAAATAAATGTTTGACGCTTTTTGTATGCTTCCATTTTAAGATTATTTTTAAACTTACCATTTAATTTCTAAAACTTTAAAACAAAAACTGTTTCTTTCAATTTAAATTGTCACGATGATTTCAAAATGAAGTTTTCCAACGAATCACAAACTTGCTTTGTTCATTATTTTTCAGACAATCAAAGAAATGTTAACCTTTCTAGTTATTAATTCATTTTATTCAAATGAATTCGCTTTATTAAAATAATTCTTTTACAGTTAATAAACTTTCGAACTGAAGACTGTTACAAAATCAACGCTATGTTTATTCCACCAATCAAAAGCATTATTAAGTTATTTACAATAAACTTCGCGCTTCTTTTTAATTACCACTTTTAATGTGAACTAAAAGATTATTATTGGTCTAAAAACTTGTTTAATTCAGCAATAATGAACATATTTTTTTTAATGCTAATTTAATAAATTTAAGATTCTTTTTTAAATGTTAAAAAATTTTTTATTCTAATGTGTGACATGCAATGTAGACGATCAAATTTGATCGGCCATAATTAATTTTGGGAGTTCAAAATTTCATTTTTTCCAAAAGTCGACGATCATTGATCGTTGATCGGCCGTTATTTCGAGCGCTGGGTTAGTATTCGAGAGCGATCGCTCCTGCTTCTCGACCAAGCCTGCAGCTTATCTTGGGACGAGTCTAATTAAATTCAAATTTAAAAGAAAACTTGAGCTTATCAATGAATGAATAAAGCAACAAATGCAAAAAAAAAAAAAATGCAAACGTATAGAAGAAATCTTCAGAAAAAAATTTGCAGAATCTATTGCACCTGGTCAATCAAAATAATTTTTAAAAGTGCTTAAAGGTGATGAAAATGCCGAAACAAAAATTCCAGATGAAATTGAAAAACTTGTAGAAATGTATAAAAACAGTGGTGCAACAAGTCAACTTTTGGCATTTATTGATCATAACAAATATACAAAACAATTTTTATGCAACACATTTAAGTGCACAAAATATAGAATAGGACTTGCCAGAAAATGGCAAGCCTCAAAAAAAGGTTTTGTACTACCCCAAAAGAATTTCTTTACAAGAAGTAGACTTTCGATTCCAAAATGTAAACATTTTTTAGATTTCATCTTTTTAAGTAGACTGTTACAAAATGTTTCTTATGGTATTTCCAAAATAAAGTATGACAGTGGTTATATTGAACTGTAGCTAGTGCCACTTTAATATCAAAAAACAGTCACACCATTGCTTTATATTGGAAAAGTTGCAAAGAAATTGGGTACGAGTTTCTGTCCAACTCAAGTTTAATGTGGATACTAAATGGAATTAAACTATCTCATAGAAAATATTTGGCTGGTTTAAATGACATGGCTGCTGCTAAGATGAATGCATTTGCAACGCATGAACATCTCGCAAATATGTTCAATAAAAAATTAACTGTTGAGGAACATGATAGATCAATAAGGTATTTAAAAACTAAATAAAAACTTCATTGATCCTGTATGCTATGAATACAATGAACTGTTTGAAGTTTTAGATGAAATCAACCAAATAGGAAATAAAAAAGATTTGGTGATGATGTATTAAATGACATTAAAGTAACATAGGCAGCATCAGAGAGTATGTGAAACACCTCTTAAAAGATGCACAACAGAAAAAGGCAAAGAATGATGCATGTAAAAAAACTTGTGAAGTTTAGAGAGGATTAGAAGGACTACTTTGGGAAGAAGGGCATAAGTATGCATACATTCTCAAAAAGCATGTTTATCTAACAATTTTATATCACTGAAATCAAAGTGTTTCCTCTGTTGTCTCTGTTTTTGAATCAGTTCTAAATTGGTTTTGCATGAATAGATTATGCTCAAAAAATATGATGGAGTGACGAAGAAACATACTGAAATCAAGCGCATATAAATAAATAAGAAGCACCAAGAAAATATCTATACTACTTATATGTTATTTTATCTGAACTATTGCAATACCTTACAAGTTTTTTTTATAAATAAGGTAGATTAAAGATCAATACAAGTTTTTTAATTTGAATTTTACAGTGAACCCAGGGCTTTAACTATTATCATGCCACAAGCAATATGTAAAAAGATTAGATTTTCCTTTTTGAGTTCAATTTTCTGGCAAAGGTGTTTCCCCATAGGTGTTTTTACACTTTTAGGTACTTAACTAGACAAAGATTTATGATAACTAAAAAAAAACTGTCGAATAATCGCGGCTTTGAATCAAAACAAAGATCAAAAATGACAAAAGAATCATTTTTTGCGTATTCTGAAGCATGGTATTTAGACAAGGGAAAAAATTTCCTTTACGAATTTTATTAATTTTTGGTCTAAACTAGCCAATAAACAGTAATCAAGTGGAATACTCATTGTAAAGTATTCACTTTGCTTTTTCTTAGAGTTCAAAAATGCTTTCGACACCATTTGGTCAATATTTCTAAAAAGCTTAGTTTTACTTTGACTTCTAATATCTAAAGAACCAATTAATATATTTTTTTAAAATTTTAGATTTAAGTTTCTAGTATGAATAGCAAAAACATATTAAAATATTAGCGATGTTGAAAAGGGTCAGTATTAAGCTCTGTCTGATTCTTACAGAAAGTCACTCTTAAAGATTCATACAAAACTCACCATAAATTTTAACATACTGACAGTAGTAACAAAAGGGTTGATCTGTATTATGATTTTTCCTAGATCCAAAGAACATTTGTCTACAAATTGCACATGTATTGAAAACTCATTACATAGATATTTTTCATTAAGTACATGGATTGAAAGTTTTAAACTTCTTTTTGCTGCCATCTCTACAAGCCTTTGTGCTTCCACTACATTTTTCCACTCAACAGCATTTTTTATTTTTTCGCAAATTTCATCTAAAAAATTTAATAAATCAGCTATAACTTTCATATATCTAATATATATTTACCCACATCACTGATTCCCTGATAGTGTAATGCTGACATATTACATATTAATCGTGTGGGAGTTATTTTATTTTAAAGCACGTTAATTACTTTAAAAATATCATGTGTCAAAACAAATTCATTATATTAAAACTTAATTAACTTATTGGATTACAATATTGTGTGGTTAATAAATTTGATCGTAGTGCATGCGCTCCAGGTTTAATTCCTATTGGAGTCTATTTTTATTTATTTTTAGAATATTTTTTTATTAATTAACTAATTGATGCTAATATATTAATATAACATAAATATTATTAATATATATTACTAATATATTAATATAACATAAATATTCAATAGTAAAATAATTATCTTAACAAAAAAAAATATTTAGTCAAGTTCATTATTTATAATATATACAGAAAAACCTTAAAATAACGAGATAAGTTTTAAGCATTTAATAATTTTATTTTGTACAAGTAGTGTCATATCAAAATAATTTTGTCCACTATAAATCAAATATCCAGCCTGCTGTGTATTGTGGCAAAATTGTGTAATAAAATGTTATCAGTGATAAGTGATAATAATCAATGTTTATACTCATTAGATTAAATAACTTAATTAATGACTTAAAATGTGATAACTCATCACATAAGTCTTTATTACAGAGCACTGTGGATAGGCATTTAACTGAAAGTTAAAAAGTCATTTATTAAATAAAACTTGTTTGTTATAAAATTCTACAGCTACGTATCCAGGCCAATTTTGATAGCGGTATACCGGTATGGGCCCCCAAATTTCAGCCCAAACTCAATTAAAAACAATTTTATATAAGCACCCATAAAAATAAAATAAAATAATTTTTTATTACTTATTGTCTTGCTGTTTTGTGAGAAAATTTGTTATGATAATTATGATAATAAAATTTGTTACGTTGTTAATGTCCATTAGAAAAACCAACACTTGAAAAATAACTTTTAAAACACATTTCAAATGTATTTTACGTCAATTAAAATGGTTTATTCAAATTCACATTGATGAAATATGAAATATGTTACAACTGGATATTTTAATTAAAAATTTAACATTTAAAAAGTACACTAATTTGAGTATCTCCTCTGCTTATGTTTACAAAATACAATTTTCAAAGCGATTAAATTATATGAGCTTTAAACTTTTTTAATTTTAAATAACAGTAAAATAGCATTAAAAATATTTTAAATAATAAACAAATAAAAGTTTTTAAAGCATAATAACATTATAATAATTGCGCCAAAAATGAATTGAAAAGTAAGAGTAGAACAAGAAGAAAAAGTTATTAATTTTTAAATGAATTAATTAAAATCTTGAATGAATTGACTTTGTTATGCAATAAATACGCTATGTAAGCTTTGTTATAAATACGCTATGTATGCTTTGCTATAAATACGCTATGTAAGCTTTGTTATAAATACGCTATGTAAGCCTTGTTATAAATACGGTATGTAAGCTTTGTTATAAATACGCTATGTAAGCTTTGTTATAAATACGCTATGTAAGCTTTGTTATAAATACGCTATGTAAGCCTTGTTATAAATACGCTATGTAAGCTTTGTTATAAATACGCTATGTAAGCTTTGTTATAAATACGCTATGTAAGCTTTGTTATAAATACGCTATGTAAGCTTTGTTATAAATATGCTATGTAAGCTTTATATAAATACGCTATGTCTGTATCAATCTATTATTCTTTGGCTGCAAGGAATATTTATATGCTTTTTTTACAACAAAGGAAATGTTTTGCTGCAATATTTCGATCTGCTGGACAACTTTTCACTTATTTACTTCAATGATTTAATTTTTTATTGCATCCTAACATCTTTAAGAGTAATGGATCCCTCAGCTTTGAATATATAAAAAAAACAAAACAGGTTTTTCATTTAATTTCAGTACCTATCAGTATCAATAGTTAAAATACACTATTGTTTTTAGAAAGACCAAAATCTTGTACAGCATCTTTCAAAATCAATAAAATTAAGATTAGATTCTATTAAAAAAAAAAGCATTGTTGAAAAACAATTTTTTTACTAATAAATTATCTAAAAACTTTACGGTCTTTTAGGACACGATACTTCAAAGATTCAATAAAACAAGTTTAGCTTTACACTTCACACTTCATTGAATAAAGCTATTGGTTTGTTGTATTCCTGAGTATGTTCAATCGTTGAATTGGATAAATTTGAAAAATATGGAAAAGAGTTATCCATATATTATCATATGGATTTTTTGTTAAAAAGAATGAATGTAATATTAAAATAGATGAAAATAATATGCATAATCATTTGTTTTGCAAATTCCATTATTTATAAATAGCGTTTTATTCCAAAAATTTTAGCAAAGTATAAGGTTCAGTTATAAAGAAGTTTTTGATAAAGAAGTTCAAAATAGTTTTAATCTTTTGATCATCAACAGTTTTGTAAACATGTAATTTACTTTGGTCATCATTTTTTAAAAGAATTTTATATACATATTATATAAATGTATTTGTGATATATTCTTTAAAAAAATATTATTTTAACAGTCTATGTTTAGAAAAGTGGTTGATTTTTTTCTGACTAAGCATTTTAAATATCAAAAATATAAATTAACTAATCAAAACAAACACTTTCAATAAGACCTTAAAATTTCACAACTATTTAACAAGAATTCAAAAAGTTAATGACAGTTTATATTCAAAGTGAGGAACTTGTATTGTTATTGTGAAACATTTATTATTTTTCTGCATTTCTATCCCAGAACCTTTAGTTTAAATTTATTTGATATTTGCATTAAAAAAACAAAATGATACCCTATTTGTTATTTACCAAAAGATATAAATTCAAAGTCTTTATTCCATTAATTTGCATGGAGCAGATCTGAATGGTATTGGTCTGTAATTGTTTTGATCTGTTCTGCTGCCTTTTTTTATAAAGAGGTGTAGTATTAGCAGTGAGCCAAGATAATAGAACCCAATCAGATTTTATTGAAAGTTGGAATATCAAAGTTAACTAACATTGGTGTATCACATCATTTTAAAACATGTTGCATCATAGTGTGATATGTTAACTTTGTCAAACAACAATAAGGATAGGTAGTTACAATTTTATTTAAAACCGTATAATATATATATATATAATTATATATATATATATATATATATATATATAATATATATATATATATATATATATATATACACACTTACTAAAGCGTGTTTTGATAAGCATTTGCTTACTTTTTCTGCTTACCTTACACTATACCGTTTTTTTCGAAAAAGAAGAAAAAAAAACGAAGGATGATTAATAAACGATTGCTTCCCCATCCCAAACCCTCAGTCGATGTAGCAGCACTCCACTGCGAGTCAGGCTATTTGTCAGTCGATGTATGTACTGAAGCCCCCAGCAGCAGGCTATTTCAGTATGACATCAGATTGCTTACCTTAGTACGCAATACTATTTGTATATATATATGTATGTGTATATATATATATATTTATATATATATATATATATATATATATATATATATATATATATATATATATAATATATATATATATATATATATATATATATATATATATATATATATATATATATATATATAGGCCTAAGCGGGAAGCGAGAGTTTTAGCTCACTTTCACCCACACTCCCCTAAAACAGTTTACGGGAGCAATTTATGGCTCTCGCAAAAGTATAGTTTTTTCTCTCAAATGTATAACTATCATTGTAACTAAAATAAAAAATGCAGTCATTTTAATAATTATTTTTAATAAATTTTAAAATGCCTGCATTCTATTACAATAAGAAAATATACAACTTTTTCTATAAGTAGTAAAGACAACGCTTGTCTAAGGAATTTTTTCATGCAGCAGTAAATGACACTTGCAATGTATATATTCTTGTAATATTAATGTAACAAACATTTGCTCGACTGGTTCTTAAATATGTAATAGAGCATGACAAATCAACAAAAGTGCAAACTTTTGTTTAAAAAAAAATAAAAAATGAACATAACGTTTCAATATTTTTGCATATGCAAACATTTGAGTTTGCCAAAAAAATATTAAAAACAGACGCATTAACTCAGCAATTTTTATTCCAAATACGATTGAAACAAAATTTTTTATTTATTATAAAAAACACATATTTATAATAAAAAAACAATTAGTTACTAAAATTTAAAACACATTTTAAAGACTTTAAAGGAAACCAAGCTAAAACATGATTATTTCTTTCAATAGCGTTAAGTAAAATATTCAAGTATCCTATCAAAGATAGTAATTATGTTTTAGCATGGTTTTTGCATGTGTTAACAAAAGAATTAAAATTTTTACTTAAAATCAATGCATTTGCAAATACTTTAAAGAAACCATGCTTAAACATTGAGATGCATTTTTCTATAGCGTGCTTTTTTTTTCTTCTTATTTATCTTAACCTGAAGTAATGTTTATTTGCATATTAAAAATACTTTTAAAATCTTTGAAAAGAATATTTAAGCTTTTAAAATATATGAAATCTAATAGAATTAATATGCTTATTGTAGTTTTTATTTTTTATTGTGTGTTTTACACCAATATTTGTCACGCCCTGGGCTTGTAACAAGTATAAAACCAAAATTTTGAAATTTTTTTAATGAATGAACAGATAGATCTTGCAAAAATCAAAAGCTCTCATAAGAAGCTGTTTAGAGGAACAGCTCACCATGTTCGTTTTAGGAGAGCTTTTTCCCGCTCACACACTCATTTCTTCCCACCAAGGCCTGTGTATATATATATATATATATATATATATTTATATGAATATATATATATATATATATATAATATATATATATATATATATATATATATATATATATATATATATATATATATATATATATATATATATATATATATATATATATATATATAGTTATATAGTTATATATAGTTATATATATATAT